GTAATCATGCATGCTCCGAGTTCAGATTGGGTTTTTTGCTCCGCTGCCACCAATTTAGAAAGCCATTAATGGCAGAGATAAACCCCGATACACAAGCCAGCCCTTTGTGTGTGAGTGCCCAGGGCTGCTCCTGGCCACACACGAGCTGTGCCCGCTGTCACAGGTCCCTGCCACCCCAGCCCTGCCCATCATGGTGCCCCAGAGCAGGGATCTGCTGAGCTGAGGCTGCTGCATCCCCTGGCATCCTGCTCTGCTCTCCCAGCCTTCCCCAGCATGGAGATCAATCCCAAACTCCTTCCCCAGCATGGCGATCAATCCCAAACTCCTTCCCCAGCATGGAGATCACCCCCAAACTCCAGCTGATGCTGTGACTCCACACAGAGGTGCATTAGGGACATGGGCACGCTGTGATTTGTGAGCACCCTGTTCTGGCCCTGCCCATCCCTCCTCCAAAGCTGTCCCACCAATTCAGACAGCTGAAGGACCCGAGGTGCTCCATAAATCTGGCTGCAGGCAGGTGATGTGCTGCTGCTCGTGTTCCCCCGGGCTGGCTGAGCGCAGCCACTGCCAATCTCAGCAGCCCTGAAATGCACAGTCAGCAGCCAGCGCGGGGAAACCGGCCCTGCTTGGTATTCTGCATTAAATAATTCAGCCCCCACAGAGAGACGGGGGAGAAGAATGAGCCTGACAGAAAATATAAAGATTTCCTATGCCCCGTTAAAAATGCATTGACCTGATTAGCTGGCTGGCAGGATGCTGAGCCACGCCAGGGCCGGGCAGGGAATCCCAGTCTGCAGCCACAGAGGCACAGGGAGGACCTCGGCAGGCAAATTCCACTCTGCAGAGTGCAGCAGCACCCTCTCTGCTTGATTTCTGTGGGTTTTCTTGCTAAATCTCTTTTCCTTGCTTGCCCACAGGTGACACGTGGGAGATTTTGCTGCCTTTTCTCTGCAGAACCACAGAATCATTCCGGTTGGGAAAGACCTCCCAGATGATCAATCCAACCTCTGAGTGACCACCACGTGTTGCTCTGTTGCTCGCTTGCTCAGGGACTTGCACATCCTTGCTCGGGGCCATCCCACCCCTTCCCAGCGGCTCAGAGCCCCCCTGCCAAGGGTCCCTGTTGTGCCCTGGGCAGCCCCGAGCCCCCTGCCCGCCGCTGGCTGTGAGCGATGCCCAGGGCACCGTGCTCACCTGCATCCCTTCCAGAAGGGATGGGCTGTTCCCACATGCTCTGCTGGAGGGGGCCACGGGGACACTGAGGCACAGGACACGGTGCTGTCCCCAGGGGTGACCCAGGGACACTGAGGCACAGGACACAGTGCTGTCCCCAGGGACACTGAGGCACAGGACACAGTGCTATCTCAGGGACACTGAGGCACAGGACACAGTGCTGTCCCCAGGGACACTGAGGCACAGGACACGGTGCTGTCCCAGGGACACTGAGGCACAGGACACAGTGCTGTCCCAGGGACACTGAGGCACAGGACACGGTGCTGTCCCCAGGGACACTGAGGCACAGGACACGGTGCTATCTCAGGGACACTGAGGCACAGGACACAGTGCTGTCCCCAGGGACACTGAGGCACAGGACACAGTGCTGTCCCAGGGACACTGAGGCACAGGACACGGTGCTGTCCCAGGGACACTGAGGCACAGGACACGGTGCTATCTCAGGGACACTGAGGCACAGGACACGGTGCTGTCCCAGGGACACTGAGGCACAGGACACGGTGCTATCTCAGGGACACTGAGGCACAGGACACGGTGCTGTCCCAGGGACACTGAGGCACAGACGCTTCCCCAGCCGAGCGTGCCTGAGCCCTGAGCTCCATGACCAGGCCCTGCTCACCCTCCAGTTAACACATCTAAGCCGTGTTTATTTCCATCCAGGCTGCCCCTCCATTTGATTATTTATCTCCCGTTTAGCCTCTGACAGATCAAAGGCTCGGCGGAGGGGAAGCGGAGCCGGGCCGCACATGGAAATGAGGCTTGATACATAATTAATTAACATAAAACAGTTTCATTAGGAGACGGTGTTACATGGCTGTTTGTCTTAAAAATTGAAGCTGTGTAAAGAGCACGGGGGAAGCGGAGCTCCCTGGCAGCCCTGCCTGGTGCTGCCCATCCATCCCAGCCTGGCTCCCCAGAGCTCGGCCCCCTCTGCTGCATCCCGTGCAACTTCTCCTACCCTTGATTATTAATCTGTTTTTAATTCTATTAAGAGATAGCCAGGAGAAAGAGTATCAATTTTAGATTAACAAGGTTATTAGCACTTAATTATGTGAGGTGTCTTTGTAATTGAAAAGGAAAAGAGGAAGCGCCATAAATATCCCGGCCCCCGAGCTCCTGGGGGTTTGCGTGTGGCTCTTTATTCACGAGCCTGTGGAACCATAAATATTAAATATCGGGTGGAAAAAAAATTACAAGGCAGAGAGAGGATGCCCTCTGGATATTCCGGCGCCGAATGTTCTTGCATTTACAAATATTCATTAGCTGGGATCTGCAAAGTTATTTCCACCAAGACTCGGTGAAGGAGGAAGAGAGAGAGAGGTTATTGAAAAAAAATAGAGTCTAGAGTAAATATTATTAGTAATTTTTATCTCTGCGTGTCCCTAATTATTCCATAATTAGGGAAAGTGCACATATGCATATGCAATCACTAACCTGCCAGTCTCAGGGATTCTCACTGCCAGCCCTGCTGTGGGATGGAGTCCCCAGGGAAAACTCTTCTTCCCCAAAAGGCAGAGGGGGTGTCTGTGCCTGGGGGAGCCCCACTGTGCCCCCGTGCCCAGGTGATCCGTGCTGGGAGCCCGGGATGGCTCAGGGAGCCACCAGCTCTGCCGAGCACCCACAACCTGGAGCTGCTGCTGCTTAGAGAGACGTTAAATGACAAATCTCAGGCTCTTTTTAATTAAAAAATAATAGAACTCAGCAGGAAACGGAGCAATAACACAGCACTGCCAAAAACCACTTTGCTGGAGCTGCTAAAAAAACAACAGGCAGGAGGCAGCTGGGGGAGCAGCCACTGTCACCTCTGGGGACAGGTGACACACGGGCAGGGTGGTGGCCGAGGGTCCCTCCCAGCACCAGCCCCGCTCCCGTGGGCTCCCACGGACAGGCAGTGTCACACCCCAGGAATTAAGCTCTTCATCTAAACTAAACACATTACCACGAGCTCATCAACAAAAATCTAATTACGCTGCGCGAGGCCGGGTTAATTGCTCGTCCTTGACACGAGCGGGACCCCTGGAAGCCCAGGAGCCAGGAGAGCCCGGGACTGGAATGATCCTGATCCTGGAAAAAACAGAAAAGGGGGAAAATAGGGCTGTGCAAATAGGGAGAAATGAGAGCCTGGGACTAGAATGATCCTGATCCCTGGAAAAAGCACAAAAGGGGGAAAATAGGGCTGTGCAAACAGGGAGAAATGAGAGCCTGGGACTGGAATGATACTGATCCCTGGAAAAAGCACAAAGGGAAAAGGGGGAAAATAGGGCTGTGCAATTGGAGAGAAATGAGAGCCTGGGACTGGAATAATCCCGATCCCTGGAAAAAGCACTAAAGGAAAAGGGGGTAAAACAGGGCTGTGCAAACAGGGAGAACCAGCAGACAAATCAGCTGGTGATTGTCGGGGGGAGCTCCAGGGTGGGGAGCACTGCTGGGATCCCCGGCAGGCTGCAGAGGGACACACAGACACACACAGCACAGGCTCTCCAGGAATGGGCAATGGGGAATGGTTAAAGCCAGCTCTTCCCACGGCAAAGAGAAGCTGGAGCCGATCCCCAGCCCGGCCCTGCTCCCCCAGGCAGCCCTGAGCTCCTCGTTTGCTGCTGCTGCTAATGAGGAAATCGGGATGCAGGAGGTGGCTGAGCCCCGCTGCCTCCCCCGCTCGCTCCTCCCCGACTTATCACCACTCGCAGGATGTTTACAATAATTTTTAATTTGCGCAATTATTAATCATTTTTCTATCTGTCTCATTTGCATAATAATTACTCTGCTTGCTGTTTGCCATGACTGTGAATGACAGTGGTTCAAATTAAATTAAGATTTTAATATTCATTTTTTTGGGTTAAAGCTAATCAAAGTTGCTGCTCGATGCCAAGACCGGGGCTCTGCCCTTCCAGAACCACTAATGAAGAGATCCAGAGCTGGTGTCACTGCTCCATCTCCATCACCCAGCTCATCCCACAGGATCCCTCAGCGTTTGCCAACCGCTCAGACAAGGCCACAGCAGGGACAGGGGATGTGGGATGCACAACAAGGGCACAGGGACAAACCCAGCTCCCTATCTACACAGCACACGGGATGGGATCAGGGAGGGAGGTGTTCACCATGTGAGCCCCCCTTTCCTCACGGATATCCCTTAAAAGTACAATACCTGCTAGCAAACAACAGATGTATAAATGCAGCATTGTGATGAACAAGGAGATCCCCAGGGCAGTGCCTCTAAAATTTTAAAACCCCAGCCTTCCAAGTCAGCGGCAAGAGCAGAACCTGATGCCATTTTCAGCACATTTCGTTTAGTAGCAGCATTTAAAAGTGCTTTTCCTCCTTAAGAGCAGCCTACAGTCCCAAGAGTGGCGCGAGGCAGCTGCTGGCAGCTGTGGCTCTGCAAGAGCAGCCACTGTCACCAGGCAGGTGGGGAAGGCAGCAGCATCCAGCTCTGCCCACCAGGGCGAATCCAATCATTCCACAGCAGGTTCTTCACATCTCCAGCAGCACTCAGATGAAGTGAGAGCAAAAACGAATGTGTCAAGTGGAACTGCTCTTGTGGAGGCTGCAGCTGCCTCAGGTTACAGGGGGGAATGGAACGGGGCCTTGGTGACAGAAGGGGGAAGCACAACTGGAAGCAGCTGCCTGGAAACGTGCTGCCACCTCACACCAGCACCCCCTGCTCCCAAACCATCTCCTGCCCAGCAGCTGCAGCAGGGCTGGCAATGGTTCAGCTGCCTTGGAAAAAGCACCAGCACGCAGAATCGAGTAAAAAAGGAAAGGGTTTATTTACAGGTGAACACAGCAATTCCAGGGCCGCTGGAAATGTGGCACAGGGATGAAAAGCAGGGAAGTCCCAAGAGTCTGGCACTCCAGAGCAGACCGTGCTGCTGTCCCTCCCACCCACGGCCCTCCCAGGGCTGGAGAATCCCTGGAAAGGGCGATCCTGCCCTGCCCTGCACTGCTGCAGCCAAGGCATCTCCATGGAAACTGCTGCTGCAGTCATCCCTGCTCCCTGGGAGCTCAGCAAGAACAACTGTATTTATTTCCACAAGTGCTTTCTGGCACACAGGGATTAAGGGAAACCCCGAGACTGACAAATCTGATCCCGGGAGAGGGTTGTTACACTTCCCACCGGAGCGAGCCAAGTGCTGAGATCAGCCCCAAACCCAGAGGGGTCTGAGGGGAGCAGCTGCTCCAAACTGTGAGGGGAGCAATTCCAGGTCTTAAGTCCTAACTCTCCACACATTTACTTCCAGTAGCAATGGAGCCCTGCAGAACTGCTGAGGCTCCTGAAGATCTTGCTGCCCAATGCAGCACTTCCAGTGCCACAGCATTCCCTGCCCAGTTTCCTGCTGGGACAGGGTCAGGAGAAGTTGAGTTTGAACTTTCCTGCACGTTGGTGACTCTGGGATCTACATGGCAAAGTAACTGCATAAACTTGACAGAAGTTCAGGAGTTCCACTTAACCTGAGTTCTGGAGCAGACTGACCCACAGCAGGAGGGTAACTCTCCCAAGCCCAAGCGTTCAGCAGATTTGCACCTGAGATTTGGAACACCTGAAGACTTGGGAGCTGCCCTCAGAAGTCATTTGGTGTAGAACAGAAGTTTGTCAGAAAACAAACAAGAAACAGTGTCCTCTCATGGAGCTGGAGGCTCTGGCTGCCAGGAAATGCAGCCTGGCCTCGCAGCACATGGCCAGTGGGCAGCTGGATGTGAGCACAGGGCTGGCTGCAGGGAGAGCAGCCACTCCTCGGGGCTGTGCACAGGTGGTGCCTGTGGGGCACTGCAGGAGCTGTCCCTACATGTCCTCCACACTCCACTTGTAGGCCAGCTCCTGCACTGCCTTCTTGTTGGCAATGCGGGCGAAGCGCTGCTGCTCGAAGCCGTTGGACCTGCAAGGGACACGCAGTGACAGCAGCTGCTGCCACCAGCTCTCCTGACCCCTGCAACCTCTCCCGATTTACCCTGGCTCAGTCTCCACCTGGACCTGTGGGTACCGAGAGCTGATGCCTCTGAAGGGCCTCACCTCCCTTGTGCCATCACCCACTACTAACTGCACCCATTCAACCTTCCAGTGCCAACCCCCTCACTCACCCCAAAACCGGCAATGCCCTGAAGCAGAACTCCTTTATTTTCACTGTTATTCCAACAGGAACATTACCTGTCCACACCGTCCCAGCGGTGCCCGGGCCAGATGTTGAACCTGTTGAGGGGAGGCGCTGGTCCCTTGTACCTGGGTTTTTCTGGAACACAAAGAGCAGAGGAGCTGCGTTCAGGTGGCCACACCTTCACCCACACAGGAGGTTCTGCAGATACAGAGCACAGGCTCCTGGCAGCCAGCTCCAGCTGCCAGGGGCTCACTGTGACAAAGTGCTGAGTCCTCAGTCAGCAGGGCCTGCTCTCCCAGCTAACAACTCATGTAACTGCTACTGGTAACAGGCCAGGAACTCCAGAGGGTCCACAAGTGTCCCCTGGCTGTTTACTGAACAGCAGCTGCATTTCTGCACTGCTGACACCCTAAACAGGTGTGTTCCAGGGGCAAACCTTTCTCCTTGTTCTCCTTGGCCTTCCTCTTCTTGATGAGAGCAGCCATGGGGTCTCCTTCCCTCTCCTGCTCCCTCAGCATTCGGTCCAGGTCCTGGTCATCGATGTAACGGGCCAAGGGCTTCTGCATTTCCTTGACTGCATCCTCCACGTTCTGCTGCTGCTGCCTCTCCTGTGCCAGCCTGGAAAACACACTGTGTCACCCAAACCCCAGCCACCGCTCCTTGGCAGTGGTTCAGTGCGCAGAAGGGGTCACAGCCCTCAATCCCCACTGCCCGTGCAGCATTCCCAAAGCACCTTGAGCACAGGAAGGGTTTGCAGCATTCCCCAAGCACCTCCAGCACAGGAAGGGTTTGCAGCATTCCCCAAGCACCTCCAGCACAGGAAGGGTTTGCAGCATTCCCAAAGCACCTCCAGCACAGGAAGGGATTGCAGCATTCCCCAAGCACCTCCAGCACAGGAAGGGCTTTCAGCATTCCCCAAGCACCTCCAGCACAGGAAGGGATTTCACACACGTGGAACACACGCTGGTCCCAGGCTCAACCTCGGAGCACAACACCAGTCTGGCAGCAGACCCAAACTAACAGCAGGACATGGGAGGCCCAAGGACTGTGCTTTGGAGGCCCTTCCTCACCCTTTTCCCCACTTGGCATATTGCTCTTCCCTCTTGGCCTCTGCCTCAGCCTTCAGCCTCTGCTCCAGCTGCTCCTGGGCCAGGTTCCTCTTGCGGCCGGACTTGTCTCGGAACACGGTCTGAGCGTTCCGGGATTCCTCTGGAGGGGACACACGCCTCAAGTCACAATTCTGGAACATTTTATCACCTCCAGACAATTCAGTTACTAACTGGGACTTCTCTTTTGCTTGTCCCCATCTCCCAAGGAGCCTGCCACCCAAATCCAGGCAGGATCTCAGATTTCCCTGCTGCCCCACACAGACCCTGAGCTCTCACTATCCATCAGCTCCCTCAGACTTGCAGAGAAGCATTTCCCACTCCCTGCGACCTCCCTGGCATTGCTCTGAAATCCCCAAGTGGAACAGAGACCCTGGCCAAGGTTCCCAGCAGCGTGTCCAGCTGCAGCTCCTCAGGATGCTCCCAGCAGCATCCCAGTGCCAGGGCCTGACAGAGCAGAGGAGTGAGCTGTGGCTCGGGCTGTGTTCCACTCCCACCTTCCAGGTGCCTGGTGCTCCTCTCGTGCTTCTTGAGCTCCTGCTTCTCCCTCTGCAGCACATCAGCCGACACCAGGCCCGCTTTGGCTCCAGACGACATGGTGCTAGCCTGGAGAACACACAAATCCCATTACAGCTGGCTGAGAGGGGCAGCCAGAACAGGGACAGGGCAGGGACAGCCCTGTTAGAGCCAAGAACCCCCCCAAGCTTGTCAAGCATTGGATTTCCACAGCTGGAAGGGAAAGAGACAAACTTTACCTTCTTGGGAGAGCCCTTGGCATCCCGGTGGTGTGGGGAGTGCTCCGGGGGGCTCCGTGACCTCTGCTGGTCCCTCTGCGTGGGAGAAGCCCGTCCTGGAGGAGATAAATCAGAGTGAGGGGCTGCTGATTGCCCCAGGAGGAGATAGATCAGAGTGAGGGGCTGCTGATTGCCCCAGGAGGAGATAGATCAGAGTGAGGGGCTGCTGACTGCCCATCCTGGAGGAGATAAATCAGAGTGAGGGGCTGCTGATTGCCCCAGGAGGAGATAGATCAGAGTGAGGGGCTGCTGACTGCCCCAGGAGGAGATAGATCAGAGTGAGGGGCTGCTGATTGCCCCAGGAGGAGATAGATCAGAGTGAGGGGCTGCTGACTGCCCATCCTGGAGGAGATAAATCAGAGTGAGGGGCTGCTGATTGCCCCAGGAGGAGATAGATCAGAGTGAGGGGCTGCTGACTGCCCCAGTAGGAGATAGATCAGAGTGAGGGGCTGCAGATTGCCCCAGGAGGAGATAAATCAGAGTGAGGGGCTGCAGATTGCCCCAGGAGGAGATAGATCAGAGTGAGGGGCTGCTGACTGCCCCAGGAGGAGATAGATCACTGAGGGGCTGCTGACTGCCCCAGGAGGAGATAAATCAGAGTGAGGGGCTGCTGACTGCCCCAGGAGGAGATAGATCAGAGTGAGGGGCTGCTGACTGCCCCAGGAGGAGATAAATCAGTGAGGGGCTGCAGATTGCCCCAGGAGGAGATAAATCAGAGTGAGGGGCTGCTGATTGCCCCAGGAGGAGATAGATCAGAGTGAGGGGCTGCTGACTGCCCCAGGAGGAGATAGATCAGAGTGAGGGGCTGCTGACTGCCCCAGGAGGAGATAAATCAGAGTGAGGGGATGCTGACTGCCCCAGGAGGAGATAGATCACTGAGGGGCTGCTGACTGCCCCAGGAGGAGATAGATCAGAGTGAGGGGATGCTGACTGCCCCAGGAGGAGATAGATCAGAGTGAGGGGATGCTGACTGCCCCAGTAGGAGATAAATCAGAGTGAGGGGCTGCTGACTGCCCCAGGAGGAGATAGATCAGAGTGAGGGGCTGCTGACTGCCCCAGTAGGAGATAGATCAGTGAGGGGCTGCTGACTGCCCCAGTAGGAGATAAATCAGAGTGAGGGGCTGCTGACTGCCCCAGGAGGAGATAGATCAGAGTGAGGGGCTGCTGACTGCCCCAGGAGGAGATAGATCAGAGTGAGGGGCTGCAGATTGCCCCAGGAGGAGATAGATCAGAGTGAGGGGCTGCAGATTGCCCCAGGAGGAGCAGGCTCAGGGGCTCGCTGTGCACACAGCCCAGGCTGCAGCTGAGGCACTGCGGGCTGGCTGATCTCTCACCCAGCTGTGCCCACAGGGACAGACACTGCCAGCTGTGCCAGCAGAGCAGCAGCCCCCAGCACTCACGTGTGCCAGCGTGGATCCCAGCAGGTCCCCAGGACACAGTGTGTGACACTCACCTTTCGTTCTGCTCTTCCTCCCGCTCGGGGACCCCAGCTTCTCTCTGCGAGGTGACAAATCCTGACGCTGCCTCCGGGGAGGGGACAGATCTGGGGTGTCGTGTCTCTGTCTCCGGGGAGGGGATGGGTCAGGGGTGTCATGTCTCTGTCTCCTGGGAGGGGACAGATCTGGGGTGTCCTGTCTCTGTCTCCTGGGAGGTGACACATCAGGGGTGTCGTGTCTCTGTCTCCTGGGAGGAGATGGGTCGGGGGTACCGTGACGCTGTCGCCGTCGAGGAGGTGACAGATCTGGGGTGCCAGGACGTCGTCTCCTGGGAGGTGACAAGTCTGGCGTGTCGTGTCTCTGTCTCCTGGGAGGGGAGGGGTCGGGGGTGTCATGTCTCTGTCTCCTGGGAGGGGATGGGTCAGGGGTGTCATGTCTCTGTCTCCTGGGAGGTGACAAGTCTGGCGTGTCGTGTCTCTGTCTCCTGGGAGGGGAGGGGTCAGGGGTATCGTGACGCCGCCGCCGCCGGGGAGGTGACAGATCTGGGGTGTCACGACGCTGCTTTTTGGGAGGTGACGAGTCTGGTGTGTCGTGACGGTGTCTCCTGGGAAGTGAGGGGTCAGGGGTGTCATGTCTCTGTCTCCGGGGAGGGGACACATCAGGGGTGTCATGTCTCTGTCTCCGGGGAGGGGACACGTCAGGGGTGTCATGTCTCTGTCTCCGGGGAGGGGAAACATCAGGGGTGTCGTGTCTCTGTCTCCTGGGAGGGGACACATCAGGGGTGTCATGTCTCTGTCTCCGGGGAGGGGACACATCAGGGCTGTCGTGTCTCTGTCTCCTGGGAGCACAGAGCCCCAGGGAGCCGTTGTGTTTCCCTGCTGGGGCCGAGGGCTCTGGGGAGTCGTGGTGCCGCTGCCTGTGAGGGCAGAGAAGGTGACAGTGAGCTCCCTTCGTGCCTGGCTTGTCTGGAAACACAGCAGGACCCCAGAGCTGGGAACAGCTTGTGAACGTGGGTTCATTGGGGTGCTGCAGCCCTGAGCCCCAGCACTAAGCCCCCATACCTCGAGGCAGACTTGGCAGATCCCGACACATCCGAACTCTGTGAGTCCTCATCTGAGGGAGAACAATTGCAACCACCATTACCAGGGCTCTGCACAGCCCAGCAGCCCTCCAGCACCTCCAAGGTTATTCTGAACTTCCATCGTGGTTTGGAGAAACCAGGCATTAGGAGAGAGGGTGGAAGGGGCTGCTCTCACCTCCCAGGAGCTTCCATTTGGAGTTTGTTCGGAATTCCTCCATGAGCTTCACCTCCTCGGGGCGCTCGTCAATGAACTCTGCCACCTGCAAACACGCAGCGAGCACCAGGGGCTCAGCAAAAGGCACAGCTCCCCCTGCTCACACAGGCAATGCCAGTCCCTGTGCCCTGCTCCAGCAGCTGTTCCGGAGCACAGAGCCCCGTGCTGGCCCGCAGAGCACGGGCTGCCTGGATCCGCAGGGAGCTCCCTCCTTCCTGCAGGGCTCCCGCCCATCCCCGAGGCACAACCCGCCCCAACAGGGCAGGGAGAGGCACTCCAGAGTTCTTCCCAAAGGGAGACACGAGGTGAGCGCCAGAGCAGACTGAGGGTGTCTGCCGGGGCTCCCCGCTCACCACAGGCATGTCCCCTTCGTCCTCCTCCTCCTCCTTCTCCGGGGCGGCGGCGATGCTGTTCCAGCTCACATCGTCATCCACGATCCGCATCCTGGCAGCGGGGAGAGGCACGGTCAGGGCCCGTGGGGACCGGGGGATCCGCGGCGGGGCAGCCCCGGGGAGGGTCCCGGCCCCGGGCTCTTGGGGCTCCGTTCGGAGCGGGGGTTTCGGGGCGGTGCGCTCGGGCGGTTCCCAAGGCCGGGCAGCGCACAGGGCCGCGCCTGCTGCCCCCTGGCCCGGGACTCACCCGCCCCTGGCGGTGCCGCCCGGCGGTTTCCTCCTGCGGCGGCGGCGGGGCGGGCCGGGCTCGGCGGGGCCGCTCAGGTACCGCCGCAGGTACTCGGCCTTCGACAGCCCCGGCGCCGCCATCGCGCTCTGACGCAAAACGGCGGCGCCGGCGGAAGGGGCGGGGCCTGAGCGCGGCGGGCTGAGATGGGCGTGGCCACTGCCATACATGGAGCTGTAACGGGATGGGCGTGGCCAGGCCACGGAAAGGCCATAAATGGAGCGGGGCGGGGCTGTAGGCGTGGCCCAACGGTGCTGATGACATAAATGGAGTGGGGCGGAGCTTTAGGTGTGGTCAGCGAATACCATAAATGGAGCAGAGGGCGGGGCTGTAGGCGTGTCCAAATGGCGGCCAATGCCATAAATGGAGCAGAGGGCGGGGCTGTAGGTGTGGTCAGCCAATACCATAAATGGAGCTGCGGGCGGGGCCTTAGGCGTGGCCAGGCGGCGGTCGCGGTTATGAATGGAGCAGCAGGAGGACACCACGCCATCAGCGTTTTCAATCAGCTTTATTGGGGAGCCACCCCGTGCCCCAAATCAGCAGCAGCAGCTCAGGGCACAGCTCCGCGGGGCAGGAACAGCTCTCCGGCCCAGGAAGGGCACAGGAGCCCCGGCCCCACACAAGTCCTGGTCCCAGCTGGGGCAGGGGGTGGCAGGGCTGGGCTGGCCCCGCTACCGGCCCGAGGCCGGCTCTGCCTCGTAAGCCTCTGTCCTCATGTCATTGAGGCCCAGCTCCTCGTTCTGCTCAAAGGTGCGCTCGTAGCGCTGCACGCTCAGCTCCGGGTCATCCTCCGGGGCGTACACGTTCTGTGGGGACAGGGCACAGCTCCTGCACTCCCCTGTGCCCCAGGCTGGGAGCCCTGGGCACCCCCACAAAGCCAGCAGGGCTTCCAGCATCTGCTGGTGCCCAGAGCTCCAATGGGACCCCCACTGCCACCCCGTGCCAGGGAAATGAACCCCCCAAAGTGCCCACGGAGCCCGAGGGCCCAGGGCTGTACCTGAAGGTAGCTGTTTCCTGCAGGGTCGTCCATGATGAAGTGAGCCTGGGCCTTCCCCTCTATGATCTGCAGGAACACAGCACGTCCCATTTAAGGCTCCTCCTAATCCTTCAGCACCTCCTGGACCCGCGCAGAGCAGGAAAACCCAAAGCAAACTCACATCCTGCAGCTTCCCAATGAACTCCTGCAGCTTCCCTGTCTGGCTGGCCGTGGAGCTGTCCCCCAGGGTGAAGGGGTTCTTCTCCACCTGCAAGGGCAGGTGAGGCAGCTGTGAGGCAGCCAGCCCCCCCAGCAGGGCCAGCCAGGGGCTCAGCCCCCCAGGAGCACTCACCAGGTCCCGGATGTCCTTCAGCAGCCCCTCCAGCGTGGTGAACTTGCCCCCCAGCGCTCCCATGCCCAGCTCGAACTCCAGCTCGGGGATCTCCACGCTGCACGTCTCTGACTGCAGAGGAGAGACCCCCGTGAGGCCATGCTGGGCACCCAGACCCCCCAGCAGGACAGGGCAGGGACCCTGGGCACTGCACCTTCAGGATATCCCTGCTCATGTCGGAAGGGTCCGTGATCCTGAGGGTGATCCTGGTGCCCTGGGGCTCGATGGCTCCTCCGGACTTCACCTGGGAACAGCTGGCAGTGAGCTCACACCCAGCCCTCCCCTGTGCTTTAACAGGCCCAGCCCAGCAGCCCAGAGGCCCCTCCACAGCTGGGACAGTGGCCTCAGCAGCAGCAGAAAGCCCCAAGTGCAGTCTCTCCCTCCCCAGCAGCCCAGGTGGGGAGCAGAGCTCAGGGACACAGGCACAGAGCTCCACTCCATGCCCTCTGCCCAGCTCACCTCGTTGGTCCTGTGCCCACAGGAGTCACAGTTGGTGGCCATGATAATCACTTCCTTGAAGTGGGGGATTTCTGGGGCAGGGAGTCAAGGCAAACATCCAAGCAGCAGCCGAGGGACGGCAGGACCCGGCTGAGGGGAGCTGTGAGCAGCCCCGAGACAGCTCTGCAGCCCAGCAGGCCCCAGCTGAGAGCTGCCTCGGGCCTGTGGAGCAGCAGGGAGAGCCCAGGCACGCAGAGCCCCCAGCCCTGAGCAAGGATACGCACTAACTTCATGTTGGTGCTGGCCGGGGCGTTGCACTCGGGGCAGTTGGTGTTGAACTGCAGCACCTGGGGAGGGAAGGGGCAGCCTGAAGGTCCCAGCCAGCCCAGGGCGGGTGGCCTGAGTGTCCCTGAGTGTCCCTGACACTGCAGCAGCCCTGGGTGTCCCTGGATGTCCCTGACTCTGCAGCAGCCCTGGGTGTCCCTGAGTGTCCCTGACTCTGCAGCTGCCCTGGGTGTCCCTGGGTGTCCCTGACTCTGCAGCTGCCCTGGGTGTCCCTGACTCTGCAGCTGCTCCCACCTCGTCCCTCAAGTCCTCGGCAGCGTCCGGCGGCGTCGCGTCCACCTCCTCTCCCTGCAAGGGCAGCAGAGTCAGCCCCTGCTCCCTGCTGGGGCTCCGGGGAGCAGGACAAGGAGCAGGGGCTGCTGCAGGCACCTGCAGGCCCAGCAGGGCACACTGCTGCGGGCTCCTCCTGTAGCGAGCGACCTGCAGGGCCTCGTCCCGGTGCGGCGCCCGCGGGTTCTCCACGAAGCTGTTCCCGGAGGGATCGTCCAGGATCTGCAGGACGAGGAGCCCTGAGGGAGCTGCCCTGAGGGAGCCGCCCTCCCTGCAGCCCCCCCTGCCAGGCCTGCCTGTCCTGAGCACTCACAAAGGTGAAGGGGGAGCTGACTTCCTTCAGCTGCCTCAGTTTCCCGATGAACTCGTCTATCTTCCTGGCCACCTCTGGGTCCGTTGCCTGGAAGGGGACACGGAACCACAGAGCCCTTAAAATGGGGACACCCCAAGGTGGGGCTCAGCTGCTGGGGACAGTCAGAGGTGGCTGTGGCACAGCCAGAGCTGTCCCCAGCAGCCCTGTGTGCACCAGGGGCAGGGGAGGGACACCCCAAGCACTCTCCATCCCTGAGGAGCTCCCCTCCCCAGCCTTACCCTGCGGGCGGGCTGGTCCTGCTCCAGGCCTGCCACAGCTCTGTCAATGATGCCCTCGATGGTGGTGAGCACTTGGCAAGGCAAGAACACAGAGCTGACAACGTCATGAACGGACCCCAGGGACCCCCAGGAGCCCCCCAGGCACTGCCCCATTCACACACCTCCCTTCTGGCTGAAGGCAGGCACCTCAAAGTCCAGCTCTGGGATTCGGGCCGAGGCACAGTCGGTCTTCACCACCTCCCTGTTCATGTCCTGCACAGAGCAGGGAGCGGCCTGAGCCTCCCCTGGCACGCAGGGGGACCCCAGAGCCGTTCCTGCAGGGATGTGCAGGTGCCTGGGCCTCAGCAGGGCGGGGCGGGGCAGTGCGGGGCAGTGCCCACCTGGCGGGAGGTGACGGCCAGGGTGTAGCGCACGCCCTGCTCCTGGATCCTGCCCGCTGCCTGGATCTCCGTGTTGGACCAGGAGCAGCTGGGGCACGAGAAGGAGCTGACAATGATCTCCTTGAAGAAGGGGATCCTGGTGAGCAGGAGCCGGGTCACTCCCTGCGGGGGCAGCGAGGGGCTTGTGGGAAGCCGAGCCTGGGGCCACGGCCCTGACAGCACCTCCGGCACGGGCAGGTCCCTGCCCCTCCCCTGCCTGCCCCACAAACCTCCCCTCACCCCCCAGGAGCTCCTGGAAACCCCTCTCGGTGCCCCCTACTCCGACAGCAGCTCCTGCCCCCACTGGGACCCCCCAGCAGCCCCTGCCCACCCCGACCCCGGCCCACACAGGTGTGTGTCCCCCGACCCCACAGACCCCGTACCATCCCTGGCCCCTCACGCCCCTTGTCCTGCTCTCCCACAGACCCCTGTACCCCCAGTCCTGCACGCCCCTTGTCCTGCTCTCCCCGCGACCCCACAGACCCCCCGTGCCCCCCAGTCCCCGCACACCCCTGTCCTGCTCTCAGCCAGTCCCCTGTGCCCCTGTCCTGCTCTTCCCCTGTACCCTCCCAGTCCCCTGTGCCCCTGTCCTGCTCTCCCCCTGTCCCCTGTACCGGCCAGGGCCCCTGTGCCCCGGTCCTGCTCTGTGCCTGGGCCCCCGCAGGCCCCGGTGCCCCCCAGTCCCCGCATGCCGCCGCTGCCCGGCCCCCGGGGGCCCCTCACGTTGCGGAAGCAGTTCATGCACAGGGACTCGATCTCTGCCGGCTGCTGCTCGCCGTCCTCGGCGCTCAGGGGCCGGAACAGGGCCCCGGCGGGCGCGGCCGCCGCCGCGGTGGCCCCGAGGGCCGACATGCCGGTGGCGCGGGGCGATGACGTCACGGCTCACGCGGCTCGGGCGGATCATGTGACGCGCGCGGGCCGCGATGGCGGCGCCTTTATTGGGGTTCAGCGCCGGAGCCGCCCGGGCTCCGCACCGGGATCCTCCCCGAGACCTTCCCCGGGACCCTCCCCGCCCCGCTCGCTCAGGCTCAGCGCCAGCTCCCGCCACAGCGCGTCCAGTCGGGCGCGCAGATCCTCCACGGGCGGCGGCGGCGCGTCCAGCGGCCCCTCGGGCGGCTCCGGGCGGGCGCTGAGCTTCAGCCGCATCTGCTCGGTCTCCTGGTCCAGCGCCCGGGTGAAGGCCTGGATCTGCGCGTACGTGTCCCGCCGGAACTCCTCCACGCGCCGCTGCACCTCCCGCGCCAGCGCCTCCCGGGAGCGGCCCGGGGCGGCCGCGGCCCCGCCGGGGTACAGGCTCAGCTTGGCCTTGAGCTGCTCCAGGTTCCCCTGGATCTGCCGGTGCAGGTCCCGCGCGTTGCGGGCCAGCTTGGCCGACAGCTCCTGGATGTGCCGGTTGAGCCGCTCGGGGCTGGCGCGGGCGTGCGGGGCCACGCCGCGGTGCAGCTCCTGCACGTTGCGGTGGATCTCGCTCAGCAGCCGCTCGGCGTACGGCTGGAAGATGTCCTTCACCTGCTCCGTGTGGAAGGCGATCTTGTCGCCGTAGTGAGCCGCGAAGCGCTGCAGCTCGTCGGCGCCGCCCAGGAGCTGCGCGGCCGCCTCCCGGCTGGGCACCAGGTGCCGCCGCAGCTCCCGGGCCCGCAGGGACACCTGGTCCAGCAGCTCCTCCGTCAGCGGCCGCAGCTGCTGCCGCAGCTCGTCCAGCTGCCTGCCGACCTGCCGGTGCGCCTCGTCCACGTACGGGGACAGCTGCAGGCGGAGGCTGTCCAGCTCCCTGCGGAGCGCCTTGCGCAGGCTGCCCGGGTCCTCCCCCGGCCGGGGGGGCTGCGGGCCCCTGCCCAGCGGGGACAGCTTCTCCAGGAGTCCCCCCACGGAGCTGAGCCCATCCTGACCGCTCTCCTTCAGGTTCCTGCACGAGAGAGCCCCGAGTGACCGCCCCGCGGCCCCCGTGCCCCGCGCCCCAATAAACGCTGTTCCCCCCCATAGGGCCCTGCCCTGCCGTGCCCGGCGGGGAGCGGGCCGGCACTCACGGGCTGTCGCTGCCCAGCTTGCTGTGGCCGCGCTCCAGGCTGTCCTTGTCCCCCGTCAGCTGGCTCAGGTACCGCCAGAGCCCGCTCTGCGCCGCCTCGGCCGGGGGCACTGCGGGCGGGAGCGCCGCTGCTGCCGCCGCTGCTGCCGCCCCGCAGCCCCCGGGGGGACCCCCGAGCCCGGCCCGGGCCCGCACCCACCTGGGCAGGCGGCCAGCAGCGAGAGCAGCAGCGCGGCCTTCAGCAGCATGCTCGGACTGCGGACAGGGGACAGAGCCGTCCGAGTGCTCACGGGGGCTGCGCGCCCCTCGCCACTCCCCGCAATGAACTGGGGTCCCCTGGGCACCCGCAGCTCCCTAAAAACCCCTGCGGTTCCCCATGACACCTGCGGGTCCCGGAACGCCTCGGCTGCTGCCCCGCCGGAGTCACGCCCGGCTCCTCCGGCCGCACGGACTTAGAGCCCCCGTCCCTCCCGGCCGGAGGCGGCCGCTGCCCGCCCTTATGTAGGCGCGGGGGGCGGCCGAGGAGCGGCCGATAAGGCGGCTTTGGGACGGGAAGGCGTTTTGGACCTCACTCCGTGTAAACACAACGTGGAGCTCCGGCCGGGTGACCTGGGGGCCGCTGCCCCCCGGGCTCGGGGGCCGGGGCTGGGCCTGGCCCGCGGCGCTCGCTGCACCCCGCGGGGATCGCGGCACGGGACGGGGACGGGGACACCGGTGCCGCTCCCGCCGGGACGCGAAGGGAGCCCCGAGCCCGCGGCGGGTGCGGGAGGGCGAGGCCGGCTCGGGCAGCGCGGGGCGGGCGGGGATCGGCGGGTCGGGCTCGCACCTTCCCCTTCCGAGGCCGCGCTCCCGCCGGTCCCCGCCGCGCTCGTGTCCTTTCCTTTCCGCCTCGGTTCTTCCCGGGAACGAGCCCGGGCACCGGGGCCGCGGGGCCAAGGCCGGGGTGAAGCGCCGAGCGGGCGGCAGCGCCGCTGCGGCACCAAAGTCCGGGCGGTCCCTGCCCGGCGCGGCCTGCGGCGACACGTGAGGCCGCTCCCGGCAGCGCTCACCCCGTCCCGTCCTGTGCCGTCCTGCCGGCAGAGCGCCTCAGCCCCCTTTCCCTCTTGGGGACCGCCGAGCTCCCGTGCTGCGCTGCGGGGACCAGGCGAGTGTCCCCCAGGCGCAGATCTGTCCCCTACCCACCGATCTGTCCCCCAGCCACCGATCCCCGCCCCCCGTGGCCGCTGCGGCCCCACCGCGCTGGGGATGTTTGGCCGCACCCCGCGGCTCTGCCCCCCCGGGTGTCCCAACTGCGCTCAGGGCACAGCGCGGGCTGGGCTCGCCCATGGGCTCACCTGGCTGCGGCCACAGACACTCCCACCCAGCTGGCCCCACCTCTGCTCCCTATCCCTGCTGCCCCAGAGCCCAGATTTGGGGTGACGTTCCCCCCTCGGAGCGGCTGAGGTGCCCCAGGTACCCCAGCCCAAGGGAGGATGGACAGGGAAGGAAGGACGGACACGGAGCAGCACGTGCATCACAAAGAGATTTATTTGAGCCACTGCAAGCGGCCAGGAGCGCTTGGAACGTGTGTAGCTGGCAGGGCGGGGCGGTTCAGTCCTGCGGGGGCGCGGCGGTGCTGAGGAAAGCGGCCACCTTGTCCCGCACCTCCTTCTCCAGCAGCTCCAGGTGATCCTCCACGCCGGCCGCGCCCGAGTCCAGCTTGCCGCGCATCTCCTCCAGCCGCTGCACCAGCTGCTGCCCGAAGGTCTCCCCGAAGGGAGCCGCCTGCTGCCGGAAGGTCTCCAGGCTCTGGCCCAGGCGCTGCTCCAGCTGCCGCGCCAGGGGCTGCAGGCGCTGCCGCAGGCTCTCGGCGTCGCCGCTCGCCGCCTCCCGCAGCTCCCGGGCCAGCGGGCTCAGCTGGGCGCGCAGCTCCTCGGAGCTGGCGGCCAGGCGGGCCCGCAGCTCCTCGGCCGCCCGCTCCATGTGCGCGCTCAGGCTCTGCAGCTGCCGCTCCAGCCCGTCCCGCGCCTCCTGCGCGTAGGGGCCGAGGCCGCGCCGCAGCTCGGCCACGCTCTGCTCCACCTGCGCCTTCAGCTCGTCCGCCACGGGCGACAGCCGCCGCTGGATGTCCTCCACGCCGCCGTCGATCTGCCGCTGCAGGCGCTCGGCGTAGGGGCTCAGCGAGGCCTGCACGCTCTCGGCGTTGTCCTGCAGGCGCTCCCGCAGCTCGGCCGCGTAGGGCTCCAGCGCCCGCCGCAGCTCGCCGGCGCTGCGATCCACCTGCGAGCGCAGCTCCTCGGCGTACGGGTCCATCCTGGCCCGCAGCTCCCGGATGTTGGTGCCGATCTGCTGGTGCACCTGGTCGGCGTAGGGCGCCAGCTTGGCCCGCAGCTCCTGCAGCTCCCGCTGGATCTGCTCCTTGAGGCGCTGCGAGTCCTGCGCCAGCTTGGCCTGCAGCTCCATGGCGAAGGGCTCCAGGCGCTGCTGCAGGTCCTCGGCGTAGGCGCTGACGCTCTGCAGGTTGCTCTTCAGCAGGGTGCTGGGGACAGGGGACACGTCAGGGCCTGTGGACCCCACCCCGGGCCCTGCCCGCCCCCCGAGCCCCCCGGTCCCGCAGCTGGGCTCACTTGAGCTGCTTGCTGAGCTCGCTCTGGTGCAGCTGCTCCGCCGTGTCCTTGGCATTGCTGCCCAGCTCCGTGAAGTACTTCCAGATCACGCTGGCCACCTCATCAGGGTTCACATCGGCCCGGGAGCCTGCAGGGGGAGCTGGGGTCAGAGCTCACACAGTCCCGTTCCTCGGGGACAGCAGGGACACTGCCATCCCCGCCCTGCTGGCACCAGGGACCCACACAGTCCCGTTCCTCGGGGACAGCAGGGACACTGCCATCCCCGCCCTGCTGGCACCAGGGACAGCAGGGACGCTGCCGTCCCCGCCCTGCTGGCACCAGGGACCCACACAATACTCACCTGAGATCGCCAGGAGAACCAGGACAAGGGCGGCCACCTTGGGCGCCATCCTGAGTGCTGGGGACTCCTGCGGGAGCACAGAGAGAGGTGAGGGAAGGCCCAGGGACCAGCAGCCCCCAGCCAGAGCCCATGGAGAGCTGGGCTCCATCCTGGCTCCCTCCAGGCTCCCTCCCGGCTCCCTGCAGCCCCTGCAGCCCCTGCCCTGCTCACCTGTGCTGCCAGTGCCGCGGTAGCTGCAGAGCCGGCAGCTCCCAGCACTATTTATGCAGCCCGAGGGCTCCTGCAGCTTCCACGCAGGCTGTGACACAGCAAGGGCTTGGACTTTAGTCGGTCACAACGTGGAGGTGCCTGACGTGTGCGCAGGCCTGACATCACCCGGGGCCCTGACATCACCCGCGGCCCCGCCGGCCCCCAGCAGGGGGACAGGGACAGGCAGGGCTGGGGGACACACCGAGCCCCGCCTGGGGACAGGGGCCTGGCCTGAGGGACACCTCAGTGCTCTGTGGAGGCAGCAGTGGCTCTGTCAGTGCTGGCAGGGCAGCACCTGCGATGGGCGGGTGTGGGATGGGTGGCAGTGTGACAGGACAGGGGGGCTGGGGATGCTGCAGGGACCTCCCAGCTCTGCCACCGGCTGGGCTGGGCTGGACAGCAGGCTCAGGGCAGGACACGGGCTCAGGGGGACGCTGTGATGGAGCTGGGGACACACGAGGCTGTGCACAGGCAGGATGGCATCGTTCCTTCCCAGGCCAGGCTCCTGGAGGGAGCCCTGGAGCAGGAAGAGGCCCGGACACTGCAGGGCACAGGAAGAGGCCAGGACACAGCAGGACACTGCCGCCCCGCGGTGCCCGGGAATGCAGCTGTGAGCCGTGTGTGCCCCCGGCCGCGGGCATCGGGCTCTGGGCACGCACCGGGGGCAGCCCCGGCCCGGCCCAGCCGCCCCGGGCACAGCGGGCCCGCGGCCGTGTGTCCCTGCGGGCAAAGGGCACGGCGGCAGGGCAGGGACCCGCCAGGCAGGGGCAGTGCCAGGGTCCGAGGAGCCTCGCGGTGCCCGGGCCGTGCCCGGGGCCGGGGCCGCTGGATGTCACCCTTGTGCCGTGCGTGCCCGGGCTGTCCCCCCGCGGGCGGCGGGCGGGCTGCGCACACGCGTGTGCCCACGGCCCGCTCTGTGCGCACACGCGCGGACACGCGGGGCCCCTCGGCTCCGTCCCGCGGCGTTTCCCAATCCCGGCCGGACACAGCGCCCCTGCAGCCCCCCCGCGCCCCGCCCCGACCTTTGCACGAATCCCCCGGGCGGCCGTGGGCCGGCTATAAAGGGCGAGCCGGGGCTGCCCCGCGCCACAGCCCGGCACAGGTGAGTGAGTGAGTGAGTGAGTGGGGACAGCCCCGGCGAGGCCGTGCTGGGAAGGGGAGGGCTCGGGACCCCCGTGCCCCCCGTGCCCCACACCGTGCTCTCTGCTCTCTCCCCAGCCATGAAGGCGTCGCTGCTGTTCGTGCTCGCCTGCACGGCCGTCCTGGCGCTGGGAGCGAGTAAGGGCCGGGGGCTGCGCAGAGCGGGGCTGGGGGCTCAGGGGGCTGTGGGGGCACACACAGGGGGGGCACAGCCGCGGGACCCCCGGTGCCACCAGGCTCGCCCTTGCAGGGGCCGACTCGCCCGAGGACTCGAAGGCGCTGGTGCAGAAGGTGCAGGAGCTGGCGCAGAAAGTCTCGGCCATGACCAAGGACGCCTTCAGCAGGGTGCGGGAATCGGAGGCGGCGCAGCAGGCCAGGTGCCCCCGAACCCCCGCCCCGTCCCTGTCGCTGTTCCCGGTGCCGGGGGACCCGGCCGGGGCCTCGCTCTGACCCCCTGCCCTCCCCGGCCCTCCTCTCCCTCGCTGCAGGCAGTGGCTGTCGGACAACGCGGAGCTGGCCAAGCAGCGCCTGCTGTGGCTCAAGGAGCAGCTGGCCGAGCTCCTGAAGAAGACTCCGGCCCCGTAGCCTCGCCGGGGGCTGCCCGGGCTCTGTCGGGGCTGGGGACCCCCGGCTCCCCCCCCGTCGCGGTGCTCTCAATAAAGCGGGGCTGATGCAAACGCTGTGCTGCCATCACTGGGGGCTGCCCGGGAGGAGCGGGACCCGCAGGGGGAGGTGGGGCTGGGACAGGCACCAGCACCGGGGTGCGCACGGCCGTGTCGGGGTGCCCAGGGTGGCAGGAGCCGGGAAATGCTCCCAAAAACTCCTGCAAATTCAGTGCCACACACCCAGCGCCCCGAGTGGGGCTGAGCTCGGCTGCACCTCGGGCAGACTGGACTCAAAGGCTCCCCTCGCCAGCTCAGGGCTCCCCACAGCAGCCCAGGGCACTCCTCACCAGCCCAGGGCACCCATCACCAGCCCAGGGCACCCATCACCAGCTCCCTGTCTCCCCAGTCCCTCTGGGTCCCCCAGTACCCCCAGTTCAGAGCACCCCTCGCCCCCTCCAGCATCCACTGCAAAGACTGAGCGAGCTCCAATAACTTAAGTCAAGTTTATTTCTCAAAAGGGAGGCAAAGCTGAGAGCGACGCCGGGCTGGGGAGGGAATTCTAGGGGAAGAGGGGGTCTCCGGGGGGGACACCCGAGGGCTCCTGCAGCCTGTCCCCGGAGCCCCCTGAGGAGAAGCGCCCGGGGCAGGGCGGGGAGCGCCCGGGGCGGCGGCGGAGCGGGGCCGGGCTCAGTCCCTGGCCGCGCCGGCCGGCAGCTCAGGCCACGGTCTTCTGGAGCTCCTCCAGGAGGCTGAGGAAACGGGCCTTGAGGCTCTCGGTGTAGGGGGTGAGGCGCTCCTTGAAGTCCTGCACCAGGGGCGTCATCTTCTCCCGCAGGCTGCTGAGCTGCTCCACCACCTTGGCCTGGTATTCGGCGGCCTGGGGGATGCCCTTCTCCCGGATCTCCTCCAGCTTCTGGCTCAGCTTCTGGCGCAGCTCATCGCTGAAGGGGGCCACGTTCTTGCGCAGCTCCTCGACGTGCCCGCGCAGCCGGTCCCGCGCCTCCTCGGCCACCGGGGTCAGCTTCTGCTGCAGCAGCTCCACCTTCTGCTTGCTGAGCTCCTTCAGCTCCTGGGCGAGGGGCGCGAGGCGCTGGCGGTACTGCTCCAGATCCTCCGTCCACTTGGCAGAGAACTGGTCCAGGAAGGGCTTGATCTTCTCCTTCACCTCCTCCAGGTCCTTGGTGAGCTCCTGGCGCAGGGACTCGGTGTCCTTCAGCCACATCTCCCGCACCTCTTTGTAGTAGGGGGCCATGTCCTCTCGCAGCTTGGCGGCGGCCGCGCCCAGCGTGTCGAGGTTCTCGCCCAGCTTCAGGCTGCGGGACGGGAGGGAGGGAGGTCACGCACGGCGCCCGGGCCCCCCCAGCCCCCCGCCACACGCCCCCCACTCACTCCAGCTGTTTGCCCACGGTGGAGGCCTCGAACTGGGCAATGGCTTCCTTGCCGCTGGCCTTCACGGAGTCCAGGTACACATCGAGCATGTCCCTGAGGCGGTCCAGGGGCGCCTGGGGCTCATCGTGCTGCCAGAAGGAGCGGGCCTGGGTGCCTGCGGAGAGAGCCGGCCGCGCTCAGGACACGGTGCCCAGGGACGGCTCCAGCCCTGCCGGGTCCCGCCCGGCTCGGGAGGAACCGGGGAGCCCCTGGGCTGCAGCTGGCTCCAAAGCAAAGCGCTCCGGAAAGCGGCGGCTCCCAGCGGCGCTCCCGTCCCTCCCGCACCGCTCCATCCCGCGGGGACCGCAGCCCCGGGCGGACCTACCCGTGAGGCAGAGCAGGGCGAGGGTCAGCACCACGGCTCTCATCTTCGCGCTGGACCTGCGGGCAGAGCAAGAGTTGGGAGCCGGGCAGAGCCAGAGCCAGCCCGGCGGGGCTGAGCCCCAGCCCGGCTCACGGCCCCGCTCTGTCCTGCGGCTCCTCGGGGCGGCCCGGGCTCTTACCAGCTCTCTCCTCCGCTGCTGCTCGTCCCGTCTGAGCGGCCGGGGCTCCGCCGCCGCTATTTATGCCGGAGGGGCAGTTCCGCGGAGATAAGCCAGCGGCGGCCCCCGGTGTGCGCGCAGGGTTCAAGGATCGCGGCATCGCCGCGGAGCGCGGCTTGGCAGGGGCGGCGAGCAAACAGGAGCTCCCCGCGGGACGCGCCTCGCCGGCCAAGGAGCTGTTTACGCTCCCGGTGACCCAGATTCCCGCTGGCCTTGCCGGGGCCCCTCGCAGCCCCCAGGGATTGGCCGCGGGCCCGGGGACAAGGTTTATTCCCGCAGGGATTTGGCCTGCCGTACCCGGACCCCTCGCCTCGGCCGGGGTCTGTGCCCCGTCCTTCACGGGGCCGCTCACGTCACCCCCTTTTCCCGCTGCGTCCCCAGCCCGCGGGTCCCGAGAACTGCGCCCTGCCCGCCCACGCCAGCCCTCGCTGGGAACCTGGGCAAGGGGAAGGCTCGGAGCAGGCACAGAACTGGCACGGCCGCCCCAAAACCGCCCTCAGCCCGAGCCAGCCCCAAGAACTTCCCTGTCCCATTGCCACCGGCGCAGGGATGCACAGGAATCGGGCTGAGCCCGGCCTGGCAAGCGGGGAGAGGGGACGAGAGGGGCCGTGTCCCCGGAGGGGCTGCAGGGGCTGTGCAGGGCTGGCACTGCCAGGGGAGCTGCCACAGAGGAACGATGCTCCCGTTTCTGGGTGGCACCGGCTCCCTGCAGCCCCAGCCCGCTGGGCACCGCAAGGGCATCGCACGGGAGCTGCCACCGCAGGTGCTGCAGGCACAGCTCAGCTCAGCTCCCTGCGCCTCCCAGACCCTGCCCGCGGCTGGAAAAGCCCCAGGGCAGCAGATGCTGGGCAGGCTCTGGTCTGCAGCACTGCCGGTCCCCAGGCTCCACTGGGCTCTGGCTGCAGGGGGCTGCGAGTGCCGGGGGGCTGCGAGTGTCAGGGGGCTTCGGGAAACTGGCCAGGGGGCTGCGAGTGTCAGGGGGCTTCGGGAAACCGCCCAGGGGGGCTGCTGGGGACCGGGACCAGCGACAGCGCCAGGGATGGGCTGGGGACACAGCAGCTGCTGCCCCTTGAACTTTGGCGTTGAGCAACAAGGCAAACAAGAGCCCAGGGAAGATCATAATCATGGTTTTATTTGTTATGATCCCACTGTCCAACTAATTGACTAGTTGCAAGTGACCCACAAAAAATGGACTGAAGATTTACTGAAACTCTTTTTTTTTCCTGTTCCGTTTTTTAGTCCAACATAAATGAGGAAGAAAAAAAAAAATACTTCTGACATTTCCAAAAAACAGAAATAATAGCAAAGTATATTAATATACATTCAACATATACTGCGCGTATTGATTACTACAATA